CTTGAACGCGTCCGGGATGACGGCCTTGGAGAGCCAGGAGCCGGGGCCGAAAGTCTTTATCAGCCTGATCGCGTGGTCCATGGTAGCGGACTGCAGGGAGAAGGGCGCTGGAGGGAAGGGGCTGTGGATGCTCGGGCGGGCCCGGAGCGGGGACAGGAGAGGACGAGTATGAGACGCTTCTTCCTGGAGTGCTTGCGGGTGGCGATGCCCATTGGGTTAGAGCGAGACGGAGAGAAGGGGCCAATAACGTAGCCCACGGACACCTCCCGCGCCCGAGCCGCGTGCCGACTTGGGGCTCACGGAGAGCCGGGAAAAGGTTGCGGGACACGAGACGCCGAGGGACCTAAACAGAGCTTGCAGTCTAATGTGAGGGATTTAAATAGAGCTTGCAGTCCAAAGTGAGGTATTAAAACTGAGCCCGCAGTCCAAGTGAGGCGTCTAACGGAGAGCCTGCAGTCCGGTGCGAGGGAGTTAAACGACCTGTAGTCCGAGGTGAGTGATTAACTGAGAGCTTGTAGTCCAGGTGAGGGATTCAACATAGCCCGCAGTCCTAAAAGAGGGATTTATAACTGAGAGCTTGAAGTCCGAGTGAGGGATTAAACCGAGAGCTGCAGTCCAGTGTGAGGGATTTAACAGTTGTTACGGTCCAAGTGAGGGATTAACTGAACCCGCAGTCCAAGTGAGGAGTTTAACCGAAAGCCTATAGTCCAGTGTGAGGGATCCAACAGAATATTTATTTATTTATTTATATTTATTCATATTTATATTTATTTAGATTTATTTATTTTTATATATAAGCGTTCCAGATATGAGCAGAACCATATTTTTCTTCTTTTCCTGTCCAGAGGGATTTAAACGGGGCTTGCAGTCCAAAGAGAGGGATTTAAACAGAGCCTGCAGGCCAAAGTGAGGGATTAAACTGAGCACGCAGTCCAATGTGAGGGATTAAACTGAGATCTTGCAGTCCAATGTGAGGAATAACGGAGCTTGCAGTCAGAGTGAAGGATTTAACGGAGCTTGGTTAAGAGAGCCTGCAGAACAATGCGAGGGCTTTAAACTGAAGCTGGCACACCAATGCACGGGGCCAACTGAGCCTGTAGTACAATGCGAGGGGAATAAACCGTCCGCAGGTCTCATACTTACCCACGACGCCAGAAGACAAGGGACAACACGACGGGACCACGCCGTACCGGCACGAGGAGGCAGGGATGCGCACGGCTCCCACCGCACCGGTCCAGACCGGCCGTATGCAGCAGCAGGCCGCGACGAGACGAGCAGCGGCGGACCCGCAGAAAGAGCCCGCAAAGGAGGAGAGCGGCAAAGACCCACGGACCACAGCACGAGACCCGCAGCAGGTGCAGCGACGCGGAGAGGAGCAGACCACACGCAGCAAGACAGAGGACAGCAGGGACACATGCAACGAGTAAGCGTGAGTAGACAAGCGATTCCTCCAGAACGGTTCTATGCAGGCTTCGAGAAGGCCGAGAATGGGAGTTCCTCCGCTTTTAAGCAGCTTGCCTGGCTGGACCGGTGATTGGAAGGGGGCGTTTGCCGTGCGATAGGCTGGGGATGAGAACCGGCCTGGAGGGGTTACCTTTGGCTGACGTCTACCAAATTGAACTTTCGCTGGCTGCATGTCAGTTTTAAAACAGAATCCAATTCTCTTTGTGTTGCCATTGTAAGGAACAAAGTCACAAACTAGGAATTTGCTAGAATGGACAGATAGATATAAAGATTAAAGCTGCACTAACTGATTTTATTTTTGTATTCATTACGAAAGTGCTATCCATATCCATGTAGTGCATTGGGATATTCGTCCTTTTGAAGAAAAAGTAGTGCAGATTTGTGCTGGCGTGACATTATATTTTAGATCGAGTTTTGATGAAACAAGGAAGAGAATGTGTTTCGGGTCGCAGATTGTGACCAATCACAGCGCACCACTGGCCCCCACATTCGTGAGAAATCTACAGGTCCGTTAGCATAGACGGCTGAGTTAGCACAACAAGCCGAGGAGCTAACCTGAAGCTCCCTCGTCTTCGTCACCGGTTTCTGCTTACACAGCGAGACAGCATCCAAGAGAAAGTCTCGTTCCTCCGCGCTTCCCGGTTCTATCATTCTATGGTCACGCCATCCACGCTCAAATGTACGATATATGATTTGATCCATATTGGGAGAGGCTAGCTCCGTCTCAACACTGTGTGTGTGTGGGGGGCGATAGCTTCGTGGGTGCGGGGAGGGGAGCAGAAAGAGCGAGGCCAGCGGGTCCGCGGCTTCAAAATCCCAAAGTTAGTTAGTGCAGCTTTAAGATTGAGAGATCACCGGTCACAGAACAGTAGGAATGCAGGACACGACACAGGATAAATGAAGAATAAATCTGTACTAAAATTAAATAATATGTTGTTATAACATTAGCATAATAAAGACGTATATATAAAATATCTATCCATCCATCCATTTTCTACCCTTTAATCCATTTCTGGGTCAGGGGGGTGGCAGTCAGAGATGCCACCCAAGTCTCATAGCACCAGCCCCTCACTGACCCTCTGCAGGTGGTGAGTCCACAGGAGGACGGCTGCTCTCTGAGTGTGAGCATAGCCTTGATCTTTCAGCGGGGGCTTTTGGGCAAAGTGGGGTTAAGTGTCTTGCCCAAGGACACAACGACAGCAGTCATCAGTGGGAGTCGGTGGAGAAGGTGTAGAGGTGGGAAATGAACCCACGACCTTCAGGCCTGCTCTACCAACTGAGCTACTGTCGCCCATAAAGATATAAAATATCTCGCTTTAGTAAAAGTTTTGTTAATGCAAAAAAAAATCTTAATACATGTCTAAAAAATACACCAATAGACATTTAACAGTGCAGATTATCAATGCAAGTCCAGAAGGTATGAGATTATAAAGTGTCAGGATAAAAGTATAAAAATAGACGATTGTAATGAACAGGAAACAATATTAAAACAATCTCATAAAAGACAGTGTTGAATAACAGATGTTGTTTAAAACACAAATCAGAAGACGCTGTTAGTCCAAAAAACTAAATAAACAACTTTGCCAAAATTGTTCAATCCTTGTTGTGCGTCCCAATAGCGCCCGTTGTGGGACTTTGCGTTTGAAAACAGATTAGAAGCCCCCGAGGGAACCGGAAAAATCTGCCGGCGTTAGCTATAGCTCGCAGTTTATCAGTAATTACAGCGGGTGCCAGGTTTGCGTGTTCACCGGGGTCCGCGGGGCGCTTTTAAGGCTGTCAACATTGAGGAGCTGCTGCCCAAAGTTTGCCCTCAATGCTGGTTTTTAACAAGCCACAGGGGATTTGTCCTGACGCGAAAGCTGCGGATTGTGGATAAATGGAGTTATTAGAGAGTTGACACGACATGAAGCGTGAGGTCACAACGATGAGCCGGGTTCTTCTGCCAAATATTACACACGCAAATGTTTAATGTTTTATTCTGTGCAATCTAAAAGTATGTGATTGTATTTAGGGAGACACAGACACAGACATACTGTAAATATGACTCAAACAGTTTAAAGATTTTTAAGATCCTTTATACATCGCACAGTGGGGAAATGTCAGTGTTGCATCACCGGTTACAGAAAAGTAGGAATGAGGGGCACATAACACAAGATAAATGAAAAATAACTAAAATAAGATCTTGGTGTAATTACTCATTGTATATTTATTTTTGATCTTCATAACTTTTTGACTTGTTCTGCTTCTTGATGTATTTTATTTTTATGTCATCATTTTAATATAGTAATATAAAAAAAGAAAACGGTTTCATAGTGCTTTTCAGGACACTCAAAGATGCCTTACATGTTATTATTCTTTCACTTCATTATAAGCCACAGCTGCCCTGGGGCACACTGACAGAAGCGAGGCAACCACTATCGAGTACCACCAACCATTCGCACACATGCACCAGACACATCTAGGTAATGGGGGTCAATTGTCTTGCCTAAGGACACAACAACACACAAAGACTGGATCCACTGGTTTTCTTGTGTGTCTTTGTTCTATGATCCCAAACATTTATTTTCTCTATTGTTAAAGATGCTATACCTGATTTTTTTTTAATGAGTTCATAAAAATGCTTATTACTACATACAAGTTGTATTATAATCCGTAATTTAATTGAAAGCTTGAGCTCATTGATTCAGCTTGTGTATGAATTCAGGCCGTAAAAAAGTGCTGAGTAGAGACTTAGTGTGACGCTATAGCTCTCCTCCAATCACAGAACGAGGCTGCGTCCTCTAGCCTCTACAGCGCTGCTAAACACAGTAGCATGTTAGCAGAATTGGCTATAACTCCTCTTACTGTAACTGCAGACACAGCAAAACAGCCCGAACGACACAACAGTGAGGAAGAGAAGAGGGAACTAAAGCAAAAAAATGATCAAAGAAGAAATCAAGCCCGGGTGGACATAGCTAGCTTACATCGTATCCTCCGGAGAGACTTGTCTATGGGAGAGAGCTGCGGGACCGCCTCGGACTATCTATGCTAGGACTAAATTCGGACGCAGAACTAGCGGTAATCTTTCAATAATACAATTTGTTAGCAGTGCGTTGCTTTTGTATCATTTCATCAGTGATTGTTGTACGGCTTACAAGAAGTTGCGCTCATGCTAACGTTTGCATATAGATTGCAAATAAAACTAGATGGCTCCACGGAATGAGAGCGTAGGGGAAATGAGAGACCTGTGAGCGAGCTGGGGGGCGGTGCTAAACACTCAAACCTTGCAGAAACGGGTATAGCTCCTTTAAAGAATGAGAAGATGGTACAGTTTGTGAGAACTGGTCTCTCCTGGATACAAAAGGTAGTCGAGGCAACTCTGACACACCCGCTGACAGAATCGGTAACTACTCCCTGCGTTCATCGCTGCACTCATCAAGCATAAATGTCTTATCTTTCGCCACCTCGAGCTAAATTCGGAGCTCAGGGATTACTTAAGACTATTCTACTCATGGACTCCGGAGCGACCTCACACACACACTACTGAATCTTATATTCTAGTCGTCGAATTCTGGCTGTAGGAAATAGTGAGATGGCGGGGAGGACACTACCAGGTCAAGCGGGCAGCGGTGTTGAGAGGGTGCGATCTGGACTTACACACAGCGAGCGGCACTCACAGCATAAAGGAGATCGGGCGCGATTGGAAACTTACGCGTATTCATGTGCCGTGGTGCAATATATGTTTGATGGGGTGCAAAGTCTTAGTTGAAAAAGTTTTGATGGGGTAGCGATATAAGGAGGGGTATAAAGCGGGGGGGGGTTGTACCGCGCTCGACTAGGTCAGGCGGAGGTATCGTACACTCACATAGTATGGTGAGCACTATGTCGCCATACGCGCAACTGGTGTGTGGGCGACTCATCACTCTTTTGATCTATACTATAGAGTGTGAGATATAGACACACGAACCCTGTGGGCTTGTTCTGCTGGTGGGGCGCTTCACATGCACCGCTGCCCTGCATAGCGTGATCTGCGGTGTGTGATGGGTGGTGTAGCTGTCTGTCATGTCCGCTCTGCGCGAGACCTATGCCAACGGAACATTGGGAGCAGGAGTGGTATACTGCCGGTGAGGAGTGTCGAGGAGATTGCATGCTAGGAGAATCGGGGCGACGCGTTCCCTCTGGGGACTGCTAGTGTCTAAGTATCAGACTCACCTTGCGTATGGTACTACAGCGGAGTGGGGTAGAGTGTAGCAGGACGAGCGTGGGATTCTCGCGACGTCCTTCGCGAACACTGTGTCCGAGGAAGGAGCTGGGTTCGTGTTGCTGGAGACGGTGGTGTGAGTGTGTAGGAGGAAGGGGAGGGGAAGTGATCTCTCTTTATCGCTAGGGTTGTGAGGAGAGTGTAGCATTGGGGGGATAGTGAGAGGAGGTCACGTTATAGGCCGGAGAGAGTTTAGGGGCGGACAAGCGTGGCGCGATCAGGAGCATCTCTGCGTGTGTATGGATGAGGTATGAGAGGTGTTGAGACATAGGCGGCTAAACACCGTGAGGGCAGTGGGATTGGGTGTGAGCGTGAGGGAGGATCTGGTGGATGCACATCTGAGATCGAAGGCGGATCACAGACACAGTGAGAGTTGGAGGGTGTCGAATAGAGCAGAGGGGATTATGGGGGTAGGGAAGGATATCTCCGTATGGTAGAGACATCTTGTATGGGATATTAAGACAATGAGTGTGCAAGCTGAAAGTAACAGTGGAGGGCAGCATTCCGTTAATGAAGCTGCGAGGGTGGTGTTTATGTATTAGGGTGCGACTTTGGGTAGTTCACTTGAGCAAGTGGGGGATATGTGCTTAGATGGGGATACATCATTAAGGTCTTACAGTGACGTCGTTATGGGAGGGGGAGTACCGGAACAGATTCTACTGTGCGATCCATTGGAGTTATGGAGGGGAGGTCATGATGATAGGGGGCATTCGACTCACTAGATAGGATATTTTACACACAAAATCTACATATTTCAGAACGAGTGTAGATGAAATGGAGGGGGGGTGGGGCGGGAGGGAACTAGTTAATGAGGATTGTTATATATTGTGTGTGGAAACAGGCACATTCACGAGGTTAAGCTGTTGTATCACGGGAAGCATTAGGTGAGTGAGAATGGGGGTGGAGCGGTCTCAGGTGGGGTGGGGATGGCGGGTCTCATCCATTATAGGCTGGTATGGGGTGTGCTCACTGAGATGAGGGGAATGATACACAAATGGACATGATGGGAAGGTGAGATGGTTTGTAGAGTATAGAATGTTATCAAAGGGTAGGGATATATGGGTTGGGTGTCACATGTAATAACACTCAGATGATTCACGGGGGCGAGAGTTTTTTGAGATTTGGATAAGTAGTCTGTGGTCTTTGAGGACTTTTTATTTACACTTTGAATAGCAGCTGGTATAGGACTAGGCAGAGAACTATATTAGGGTGCGAGAGGAGGTTGAGCAATTGACACTCGATATCATCCGCGAGTCACTATGATGTGATGTGTTAGCTCGCACGAGTGTCACTTGTAGTACACTGTCATATCTCACAGTCAAGAAGGACTGTCATTTCATCTTGACAGGACATATGTAGGTGGGGATGGGGATAGAACTCGGGATCGGTATAAACAGAGATGTGGTCGAGCTGGGGGTTTTAGGCTCACAGCAGCAATCTAAAACCTATGGTCACATCTAGAGGATAACGGAGGTTCAGGATTAGAACGTGGGTGGTAGGGGGCAAAACTACTAGTGTGACAGGGATGTGAGTAGGTACATAGGAGGATAATTCGTCACTCACTGTTTGATCACGTTGAGATAAGGTATCTGCAGGTTGGTGGTAGAGGATTTTTGGGGTATGGACACTGGAGGTGTCTGGTGGCGTGACTCGGGGAAGTGTAGGACACACATGGGAGAGTTCATACTTTGCAATATGTGGGGAGTAGTGGCGTGAGGCACAGCTCGGTCACATTACTTGGCGTGATGTTTCTCTATAGATTCTTCTGCATTGTTCAGGTGATACACAGGAGAAGTAGAGATGAGGGGCCTAAAAAGCTTAATAGATAAGCAGGAACGTGAGGACAGGGTTAAAACACACGTAGCAGAGAGTGGCTGGAGGTGGGGTAGTTTGGGATTGGGGATGTTGTAGGGGATGAGCTACGGAATATACAGCACAGTAAGATTCGAAGAGTAGATGGTGGTGTCAGTGAGCGAAACATGGCGGCACCGACATCAGTAAGTTAGGACATGGGAGTAGAATGGATCATGTCGGCGTTCATCTAATGTAGTGATAATTGAATCACTAGAGTGTTACTTAAAAGTGACACTCGTGGAGAGGGTGGAGAGTACTTCAAGTACTAGGCGGGGAGGGTGACGAGCTCGCATGAGAGTTTATTGGAGGGATGTGTGCATCAGGACTTATATGGGGGATTATTGTAGAATCACAGAACGCACTACGAGCGGACAAAAACAGTACAGTTATAGCAATAATAAGGAGAGGATAACAGCTAGGAGGATGCGGTAAGTAATGGGTGTCAGTTTAGGAGTGATTGTAGTTAGAAGGATGTGGAGGACAGGAGAGAAAGACAGGGAGGGCAAGACAGTTGAACGTGTCGGTATGTACTAGTACACTACAGGGGAATATCAGATAGGGAAGAGAAACACACAGAGTTAGGGGGTATAGAAAATAATGATTGGGTGGATGAGACAGTAATTGGAGCGGGTGGATATTGCAGGGGGTGGGGCTGGGGGCGTGGATCACGAGGGGTGACAGTTACTATAGGCACAGGATCAGGGTTTGACAGATGGGGGGGTCATTTTTGAATACACAAGGAGGCGGTAAAAATAGGGGAACAAGGGTGGTGGGCTAGGGGGGGCATGTGGTACAGGGGAGAAGGGGAATGGCGATCGTATATTATGACTAGGGAGGTCAGGGGACTGGTGTTCAGGCAGAGCAGGTTTAACGGGTAGAACATCCGGTGGATCACCAACGACTGTCATAGAGGGCATGGGATGGGCGCTAGTAACAGAGAATTAGGGGGTTTTCACTAGGCACAGTACAAGGTGGGTGTGTGGATGAGGAGGTAGTCTATGAGTAGCTGCTAGTGGGTTGGCACATGGGACTGGCAAGTTCTCTAGCGTACTAACTGGGGCAGACTACGTTCTCTGCCGAGATGTATAGGTTAGGAGTGATCATTAGGGGAGTAGGTGGGGACGATCTCTACTCGGATTGGCCATTCTGGGGGTAGAGGGCGGGGGGTGACGTCTCTCTGGTGGTATAGATATGGACAGATAGGTATGGGATTGACAGAGTGTGGACGCATGGTGTGGAGGAGTGGAGAATGACACGTACAGGCACAGAGTTATTACACAGCGAGGCAGACTTATTAATTGGGGTGGGAGGGGGTACAAATTCTAGCGGATGGATAGGGGTGCAGGTGGGCGGGGGGTATGGATAAGACTATGAGGGTGGTGTAAGGTTGGGAAATGTACACACAGATCATAACAACATAGGTAAGAGGCAACAGGAGATTGTTGGAACGCAAGGAGCACACGTTTGCTGTTAGGGGTATAGGGGGGGGACAAGTACAGAGAGAGCAGGGAACATATGACATGTAGTGACATGTGACACGCGCACATCGAAACACGGACAGTCAGGGTATGAGGGGGGGGGGGATGGCAAATAAGGGCACAAGTAGGGGGACAGGTTATGAGGGGGAGGGCGGCTGAGCGGGACGGGGGAGTTTAAGGTGGGGTTAAGACGTGAATGGACAGTCGAGAGTGGTGCAGGTGAAGGGGGGGGGGGGGGAGGTGATTGATGTTGTGGAAGAGGGAATAGGGGAAGAGAAGGGGGGGGGAGGGGGGGGGGGAGGGAGGAAGGAGAAATGGGAAGAGAGAATGGGGAGAATGGAGAAAGGAGGATTTGGGGGGGGATGTTGGTATAGTGGGGAATTGTGGGGGTGTTGTGGGATTAGGAAGGAATGGGTAGTTGTTGTTGGGGGGAATATGTATGGGAATAATTTGGTTGAAAGGATGGAGTGGAATGTAGGAGTGGGTTGGGGATTGGAGGGGGGGGGGGGTGTAGAAAAGATTGGGGTTTAGATTGGGGGTGGTAAGAGGGGGGGTTGGGGGGGGGGAGGAAGGGTTTAATGGGGATAGATAGAATTATGGGGGGTAGGGGTAGAGGAGAGGGTTGTGATAAGGGGGATTGGGGGAGTAGAGAGGGGGGATTGGGGAAAGGAAGGGGGGGGTTCTGGGTGGGTTAAATGGGGGAAAAAAAGAGGGGTGGGGTGTGGGTAATGAGGGGAGAGGGTGGAAGGATGATGGATGAGGGGGGAAGGTTGGGGGGGGGGTGGAATTGGTAAGGATGGGGAGAGGGGGGATGTTTGGTGAGAGGGGAGGGGTGGAAATGGGGTTTGAGGGGGAGATTGTGTGTTGGGGAGGGGGGGGGAATGGGGGGGGGGGGGGAATAGTGGGGGTGTGACGGTGGACAGGCCGGGAGAGGGTGCGGTGGGTGTAACAAGCCAGCTGTGGCCTTGACGTGATGGTCTTGCGGATTATTTACGTATTATGGGGTTTAGGCGCATGAGCGTATATTTGAGACGTGTAGGTGTGTGTGTATATGTGGAGTCCGTAACGTGGGACAGGAAAGCCCTTTGCGCGAGCATACTTCTACATTCGGTTGGTAGGGAGGAATAGAATGAGATTTGGCTCGCAGGGCATCTCTACGTTACTCTCATCCGCCGTCCCTCGGGCTCTATGTTACGCGACTGAGATGGGTCATATTATGATGTTATGAAGCAGTAGACATTCACGTAAAGGCCACAGATGGCGGGTCTCCACAGCTCCAGAGCACGGCTGTCATCCGGCTAAAAATAGTGGACCAAAATGACAACCAGCCTTCTATAATTGAGCCCCCGCTTTACAAGGGCTCCGCCGAGATCTTTCTGCCCAAAGACGCACCTGCAGGCTACTTGGTAACCCACATTAAGGCCACAGATGCTGATGAAGGCATAAACGCGCAGCTGTCCTATAAAATCACAGAGGGGGGGCACCTGGGCTTCTCCATTAACAAGGACACGGGCAAATTGCACGCGAGTCGCCAACTTGCGTTCGATCTTACAGACAGCGTCAAAGTCACTGTTGGGGTGAGTGACAATGGTTTCCCGGCGCAAACTTCCACAGCGGTCATCCACTTGAGTTTCATTGAGGGGAGTCTACCCAGCATGCCTTCCTCTGCGTCTGAGAATAGCAGCAGGGATTACTTTGAGTGGGACATGTCTGTGGCCATTATTATCGTCCTGGCAGGAAGTTGCTCTCTCCTCCTCTTGGCCATAGTGCTCATTATGACCATTTGCAGCCGGCGCAGAAAGGAGCCAAGGGAGAGCGGCAATGAGGAGAAGGAAGACGCCCCAAACACGGAGAGGAAAGTGGAAAGCGGCCATATTGATGCATTGATCGCCAACCACAAAGGCAAAGTGTTTGATGCCCATCCATTTCCAGAGACAGCTCCTTTGGCGAGCGGCACCACCACCACAGAGGCTCGGTGCGAGGATGCCAGGCAAGCTGTGGGCATCTTTGAGCCCAACAGCAGGACGGTGGAGGGGAAATTAAAGGTACAATGTCATTCACACAAACCAACTTTGTCAAACTTTTTTAGGCAGGATGAAAAGAGGGACAATTGGACACATTGTCCCCTTGGTACATGTGTAAGTTATATAGGCTCTTTGCACCCATTCATATCATACAGTTAGTGAAAGGGAAAGAAGGGATGAATGTCTGCCAGTCTGAATAATGTGGGGAGAGAGAGTGAAGTAGAGAGAGAGAGAGAGAGAGAGAGAGAGAGAGAGAGAGAGAGAGAGAGAGAGAGAGAGAGAGAGAGAGAGAGAGAGAGAGAGAGAGAGAGAGAGAGAGAGAGAGAGAGAGAGAGAGAGAGAGAGAGAGAGAGAGAGAGAGAGAGAAATCCTACAGTATTGCTCCCACACCTCTAATGTGCCACAATGGTGCAGGAGATGGTACAGTTTCATCTCGTTGGTTGAGGCTTTGCTATAGAATGGAGAATGGACTATTGACATAAAGAACACATATTATCATGGTCCTAGAATGCAAAGTATTCTGACATGCAATTTAGTAAAATAACTAAAGCTGGGGTTCAGAACAAATAGTTGTGAGCAAATTCAGAATCGGAATTATTTTAATGCCATGTGAGTGGTCACAAACTAGAAAATTGCTTTGGCTCTCGGTGCAAACAAATTAAAAAGTTATTAAATAGAAAAAGGCATGCATGGAACGAGTTAGAATGTTATTGGTCAGTTTTGTGATTTGGAAATGTGGTGCCCCAACTGGTGTATTCAGGCTAGATTTGAATTACAGACATCCACTGAAGTGTCTTGCCCAAGGATACAATTGCAGTATGCATAGCGTGTGTGAAATTGTCTAACTTGGAGAAAACCTCTTGTAAGGAAATGGTCAGGAATTGGAAGGAATTGGTAGGTGATGCAATAATATAGAGCAGTCCAAATTGTAGCTCCGGAACAGCTTCTCTGCATGTTTATATGTATAGCACAGTTCATACAAAAGCCAACTCAAAGGGCTTAACAAAACAATCACAGAGGGCATTGAAATAATCACTGTACATAAAAAAGGGTAAAGATAAAATCCCTCAGTTGTGTGCACAGTTAAACAGAATTATTCCCTCAAATAGTGTTTACTTCAGTGCTAACATCGTTCTCTGTCCTAGCAGGGCTACTCCACGCTGCCGGGTTATGGCAAAGAGACTGTGAGGCCAATCACCATCTGGAAGGGCAACTCTTTCACCACCATCTCTGCCCGGGACCCCCACATCAGCGGCAAGGACAGTGGCAAAGGGGACAGCGACTTTAATGACAGCGACAGCGACATCAGCGCCGACGTGCACAAGAAGGAGTCTCCGCCCACAAACAGTGAGTCAATATGCCATGGATTTCAATATGTGAGAAATCCTGTAGCTATTATACAGACTGTAATAGAGCGAGAGTGCATGTGGGGTCAGACCCATGCACAAATGTATCAATAAAGATTCAGCAGTGTAAAATAATGGCATCTATTTGGACTTGCTCTGAAGGCCAAGTCCATGTTCACCCCAATATCCGGTACTCCGATAAGAATCCATGAACATTTTCTACCAGTGTTGAAAACAATTTACACAATTCATTATCAAGTAATGGCTACGACATGCCATACACCAGTTTATTTATGCATCGCAGCTTGTTTCCGTTTTCAAGTTGTCAGAATTCATCTTGTAATGTATATGTCAGGCTTTAATTGTCCCAGTTGTGAGTTTATTTAGGAGACAACTCACATAACATGTTCTGACATCCAGGCAGATTCACTTTTCAATAAGAAATGACAGAAAAACATTGTGCATGTGTGTTGCATTTTCGAATTGGGCAAGTAAATAATTAAAACACTAAACAAACTGAACATGGAAACAGATAGCTTTTCTTGTAACAACATGAGGCGTTGAATGGGAAAGTAAGGATTAATTGAAACGTTCAAACATGACATTTAAGACTGTTATCCAACACTTCCTCTTTGTAACGATAGTGCATTTGTACCGTCCATGTAAAGGTTGCGCAAACATGTTTTATGGATGATAGATAACGCAGACCACTGAGCTTTGCCATCCATTTTCTGCAGGTCTTTGGGCTTGCACTAGTGAATGTAAAGTGCTGGGCCATTCGGATCGCTGCTGGAGCCCGTCCGCCTCACGTCCCAACACCAGCATGGCCTGCGCACCGCACCTGTCCACGTTCAACAAGACGGCGTCGCTGCCGAGGGACGCGCGGCGGGAGAACTACTATCCTTCCCATTTACCCAAGCCAAATGCCCTCCAGAGCGTCTACGAACAAGTGCAACACCAAGAGTTCGATTACATTCTGGTTGGACCACCCACACCGGCCCGAATACAAGAGACTGATGAGATCTCCATTCCTGAGTACAACAATTCATAGAGACGGTCAATGTCGTGGGGTGAATACGCTGCTCGAACGCTAAAGAGTCACTGCGCGGTTTAGCGAGTGTTTGGAACGTCCTTAGCTTTGATTGCGCCGCACTTTCACTGTTGGATTATTTGAAAAAGCCTTTGTAATGGAAACAGAGTTATTTCTATCTAGTGTTGCATTTGTTTTTTCAACAAGAGCTGGTTTTGAGGAGGAGAGACTGTGACCAAAGCACAAAGCCTTCTCCAGCACGTCTCAAGGATTCTCAATGGGGTTGTTTGATTTGGGTTATGAATGCCCCTTGATATTCAGCAACTCTTCTTCAAGAGGGTCCTAAATGGAAACATAACAAAAAATAACAGTACATACACACATACAATACAAAATGTTTAAAACACAAGACATGCAAGAGAGACTTGCTCCCTCATGCCCCACTCCTCACTCCAGCAACATACAGTAGGAAATACAGTGTATACACACACACACAGAACAGACTGTAAATAAACCAATGAGTAGCACAAATATTCAGATTTTGACAAATGAGGTAGCCACATGGAAGTAAATATCTACTTTAACCACCCCTCACCTGAAAATCAGATAAATAAGTAAATAAAATCATGAACCCAGCTGATACGAAGGCACAGGTACATGATTGAAAACTATCTCTCCTTAAAGGAGACACTTTGAAGTGTAACAATGTTCCAGCATTATTCCTTCACCAAAACATACATAGATTTGTTTTGGCTCAACACAAATACTTCTCCCTTCTGTTTAAACGCTCCTGTCTCAAACTTGCTACAATATAAAGTAATGTACAGACAACTTGAATCCAAAGAAATCTTGGTAATTTCAATAGTAAGAATATGTTCTTCACAACTGTCTGCCTTCAATGAATTTGGGCAGTTTACAGTTATTTTGATGACTGATTATTCCATTGATTAATTGATTGGTTGGTTATAACGTGGACATGAGAAAATCAAATCTCAAAGTGTTGCAGTCTGGATCCAGAGTGTTAACAATATGAAAAAAGTTTATTGTTGAAAAAAAATTATATTGAAAAATGTGATTAGTTACAAATAATCAATGAATAATAGCCATCAATTTGCGTGACCTGCACGTGTGGGTCATTATCATTGTGTTGTTAGGAGAGACAATTCCTCCACATTGCCAAGTATGAGTCTTGTGTGTACATGAATGATTAGTGGCTACAGTATTAGTTTATCATGGAGTAATGAATAATGCCACATGTAGGGTATTTGAATATCCAAAAAAGTGTGAGTTAAAAACAGTGCATTATAATTATTATCAATATCATTATTATTAAGAAGTGGGACAAAATGAACAGGAATGAAGCATAGTAACTATTTCTCAAATTGCTAAATGCCATTGTCCTTACAAACACACTCACATTTGAACTCCCATCATCTTAATGAAAAACCACTGCAACACTGGATTAAAATACATCTTTTATTGTTTTAGAATCTGTTTGAGCCAATGCCACAGAGAATGTATGTTACTATCAAAGCTAACGTTTTTTTTCAATCAAATATTACAATGTGTGGTGACTTGCCTTTTTGGACAGCAGTGTATATATATGTAAAAAAAGACAAAAAAAGCTTTCAAACTCCATGTTGCTGTGTTATTTTGGTACTCCTTCATCTGTGTCTTGGCTCATGTCAGACTGTTTACTGTGTAATATGCAAGATTTTGTATATAATATATTTTTCATAATCATGTACAAAGACTTTATTACGAATTTTCAAAAAGCATGTGTTATTAATATATTCAAGGGAATAATGAGCCGTGAGAAAAAAAAATGAAAGGGGGGAAATCTCTACTGTGAAAACAATCAACTTTGTTTGTGGAAGATTTTTGTCACATTGTTGCACAAATAAATGGTCAAATTAAATCAGATTTTTCTGAATGTGTGGATATTGAGCAGGACTGTCACTTTGGCAGGGGGATGCTTCTGGCTAGAATTGTTGTGTTCAAAAAAGCGTTTACCAAATAGTAATACCATGCAATCTAATCTTGGTCGTCAAAGGGCCAGTGTGACTGCAGGTTTTCGTTCCAACCTGAGCAGGAGCACACCAAACTTCACCCATTTCCTCATTTGAAGCCAATTTTAACCAGTGGGGGCGGGTCCCGGTTCAAAGGGGTCCAGGAGCACATGCGCTGCTTGCAATCTGACTCTTTGCTGGTGGTAGCGTTCCCAGAAACATATTTATCCGATGTATTTTGACAACAACTTTTTTCCTCTCGAAAACGGCTTGGTCAGCCTGGTCCAAAAGTCGGCTCTTGGCTTAACACTACGTTCCAGATGTGTGTCAATACTGAAGGGAGTTTTTTTTTTCATCGGACCAGCCCAGTTTAGCCGCTGTCTTCTTTTGAATGCACTTGTTATATTAATAAAGTTATGACACTGAAGTTTCAACGGCGGAGATAGGCGTCACAATGTCCGTTAATATTTATAGTCTATGGTTTTAACTTGAATATTTGAGGAAATGGATGGAGTTTGGTGTGCTCCTGCTCAGGGTGGATCTAAGGCCACACCGGCCCTTTCTGGAACCGGTTTGGCAGCCCTGGACTAGAGTGTGGGGATGCAAAAAACGTTCAAATACATATTAAACAGTGTTGACAATGGCTCAGAGAGAGAGAATGGCAGCTCTGTCCTTTGCAGCCTGTCCATATTGTTATTGTGTCCTTGAACAAGACACTCCATCCCACCTCGCCTTTATACAAATAGCCAACGCATCGCTGTGTGTGAAAGGCTGTGTCCGCGCAGCTTTTTGCTGTTCCCCCCAAAGTGTGAGACCACTATAGTGTCCATACGAGTGCAACAATAATCCAAACATTGATTATGATCCGCAGCAACAGATACGTCATGTTCTCTCAAAGTAGACTTTTCACATTTGAAGATGAAGGCAACTTGTAACGTTGACAACATTCTCTCTGTGGGGCCAAATAAAATGTATTATTGATGTGAAGAAAACAGCGAGGCACCGCAGCTTTAAGAAAACAAAACAATACTAGAGAAGCGTATTTGTAGTGCACAGACTTCTGCCAATCCTGCATCCAGATTCAGTTCAGCTCCAACTTCTCCAACTAACAGACACACACGTGGAAATGTTAATGAGGGCTACACACCACAATCCTGGTGTAAATGCTGCCTACAGACAAACAGACACACACACACACACAGACAGGCAATCACATTACCCCTTAGCAGTAACATTGTCAGAGTAGAAGTCAATTATTAGTGGTTTATTTGATATTAACATTTGGTCAAGTGGCTTAGAGTTACAGCGTACTGACAAGACCAAACGGGTGCAATATGTGGAATTTTAGTTTTAGAACCTGCCATCTTTATTTGTGTGAACGACCCACCCCCCCCCTCTTTTTTTTGTCTACTTGAGACATGTGGTCATGATCTGAAGAAAATCTTTTGAAAAACAAAAGTTCATCTAGCTACAATCTTCAATACATTTTGCTAATAGTAGTACATTTTTGAGTATTTTACTCAAGGAGTGGTGATACTTTTTTTGTATTTGGCATTAAAATAAGTAGATTTTTGGCTTTTTCTTCTCATATATATCTGCACATGAAAGATCACCCTAAGGAAGGAAAGCACCATTCAAATGATTTCCTATTGCGACTCATCTTTTATTACAACTGAAGTATGTCGTCATGTCTAACTATACCACAACATGTGACCAGTCGTCGTGGTGATAAGGTTTTGCCCGATGAGTAAACACGTGGGTGTCCTGGCTTTCTTGTTAATTCTCTCCATTCTCCAACACAATGCCCCTGATTTTAGCCGGCTGAATAGATTCATTAAAATCCATGTTTTAATCCTTACTCTGTTTTTTCCTTATTTTGATGATCACACCCAAACCCCACAATTGACAGCGGGCATAAGCCAATGTCACATTCTTTTCATGGTACACAATGCTATTAACTCCGGTCAAAGGATCTCCTCACCTTTCTGATTGCTCTGCAGCCAAGCAATTATCCCAAAAATGTGCTTCAATCTGTTTCCAGGACAACAGCTGCAGTAGGTGTGATTTTGAATCTGTTTTTAGTTCTTGCTTTCTCTTTCGTTCTCCTTTTTTGCTTTAATAAAAAGTAATGATAAGTGTAAGTGACCTTGGCCAGACCACCCTGTTGCCAAATCCAAAAATGTGCTATTGTTGAAGGATGATAGACAGTATGCGCAAAAATTATGTTGTTGTAAGAAGGTTTTTGACCTCAGGCAGTTTGTGATTTGAGCATTTATTGGACAGAGAATAAGATCAAATAAATAGCTTCTTGTTGTGTTTTCACGCTTTGCACCACCTTAGTACTTGCAGTGTTCTTTTGCCGCTATTTCTAATACTATTATGGCATCGGTGTTTTGACTTACTATTTTATTTGTACAAACTTTATTTTGAGCCATACCAAAATGATAACATTCTGCGCCATTACAGAAAGCACTGTACCCGCGTGGGTAACAAGAGAATGGAGAACTAATAATGATCATAATGATTATGGACATTCAAAGACACTTCAAACCGCAGATATTATGGTATTATCAATCAATCAAGCAATCAATCAATCTTTTATTTGTAGAGCGCCTTTCCTACACAAGGCAACACGAAGCGCCCATATCACATCATTCAAAAATCATCAAACATTAGAATCTACATAAACATTAAAAAAACACAATAAGAGCACAAGATATATTAAAAACATACAAAATAAAAGTAGTTAAAAACCTCAAAACATTACAATCACACTCGGGATTAAAATCATAAATAGCCATAGTGCATTAAAAACAGTAAAGATCAAATCAATGACACTTGAAGGTTTCACAATATGGCAACAATTTCACAGTATGGCATTAATCTTGATCTACAGTCTTGGACGCGAATATGACTTCAGCCGGCTAACCTAAAGGTCTGCATGAATGCTTGTTTGCTGAGCCGGAATAATGGCTGTAATTGAATAAATGCTCATGATGTCGAACTGTGTCA